TGGTTCTGAATCAAGGTGATTGTGATAATCGTGACAGTGACGATGGTGATGTTAACACTATAGAAAAAGCACCTATAGTGGACCTGGTGCGCTATAAAATGTGTGATGGGCTTACTGAAACTAGAGCAGTGTGCATTCACAACCAAACAAGGAATCATTTCAGTTTATACAATGAAGAGAGGCGTCTAAGACACACTGTTGTTAACGGGCAGATGATGCTGGAGGAAACATTCTGAAATGCCATCTGGCAGATGCCACCTCACCCCCACAGGACCCACTTCCTGACCCTTCAGCTGCTTCGGATGTTTCTTCTCACTTAAAAAAAAAGAAGATGCAGTGTACAGTAGCCTTTTAATCAAAACGCAGCACCATAGATGGAGACCGGAAGCTTCCGTCCTTTGGCCGCTGATGCAGGTATCTGTTGTTGCTGCTGTGCTGCTTGGATGCTCTGAACACAGTATTTTTTCACTGCATTAATGGAATGTGATATTTTCTACTGGTAAGTATGTATGCATGAGTAAGTTTAAGAAAATGATTGCTTATCGGTAGCATATAAATTCAGAGGAAGGATGGGAATGTCCACATGGGTAGCTGAGATAGTTACATCTTTGCCTCTGATGGTTCAATGTACACAAACCTTTACTTTTATTTAAAACGTTGCATAAAATTACCTTCAGGCTATGTGTATAAGGTGTACATGAAATGTAAATGAACTTCGTGTTTAGATTTAAGTCTCATCCCTAAGATATTTCACTATGTATATGCAAAAATTCTGTAATCCAAAAAAATCTGAAATCCCAAGTATCTTGTTTTTGCTTTTGTGTGTGTGTGTGTGTGTGTGTGTGTGTGTGTGTGTGAGTGTGATAGGGTCTCACTCTGTTGCCCAGGCTGGAGTGCAGTGCCATCACAGCTCACTGCAACCTTGACCTCCTGGGCTCAAGCAATCCTCCTGCCTCAGTCTCTTGAATAGCTGGGACTATAGGTGTGCACTACCACGCCAGTTAATGTTAGTAATTTTTTTGTAGGGAGAGTGTGTCTCACTATGTTGCCCAGGCTGGTCTTGAGCTCCTGGGCTCAAGGGATCCTCCCACCTCAGCCTCCCAAATTGCTGGGATTATAGGCATGAGCCACTATGCCTGGCCAGCATTTTGGATAAGGAATATTCAACTTATATAGACAAAAGAATGGATTTTTTAAAAAAGAAGCGAAACTGTGTATTGTGGGTGATATGATAGTACACCTGGAAATCTCCAGAAAAATCAATGATAAAGTTAATTCAAACAATAAAATAATTCAGCAAAGTAGTAGGATATAAAATTAGAATACAAAAATCAACAGCTTTTACATATAGAAGGCATAATATTAGAAACAATTTCATTTACTATAGTAGCAAACAAGCATATTCAGGATTAAGATAAACCATAAGAAATGTGCAAGAGCTGTATGAGGAAGATGGCACCTACTCCTGGAAGATATGAAAAGAGACTTGAATGAATGGAAAGACATCCTTTGTTCTTGGATAATATGACTGGACATTATGCAGATACAAGTTCTCCCTAGGTTATTTGTAAATTTAATGGAATCCCAATAAACATAGCAACAAATCATTTTATAGAGTTAGATTGATACCAAAGTGTATACAGAAAAACAAACATACAGGCAAACAATACATCCTCTGTGGTCGTCGGGCCTTGATCCCAGTATCCTGAGTGCAGTCCTGTCGGCGTCGGTAGTGTCCGTCATTTCGCGGTTCTTAGGAGGGTACTTGAGCCCCACTCCGCAGCGTCTGAAGTTGCTGGACGCGTACCTGCTGTACATACTGCTGACCGGGGCGCTGCAATTCGGCTACTGCCTCCTCGTGGGGACCTTCCCCTTCAACTCTTTTCTCTCGGGCTTCATCTCTTGTGTGGGGAGTTCATCCTAGCGGTTTGCCTGAGAATACAGATTAACCCACAGAACAAAGCGGACTTCCAAGGCATCTCCCCAGAGCGAGCCTTTGCTGATTTTCTCTTTGCCAGCACCATCCTGCACCTTGTTGTCATGAACTTTGTTGGCTGAATCATTCCCATTTACTTAATTGAGGCTAGGAGACTGAAAGAATGTTGGCTCTTTGAATTTCCTGGATAAGAGTTCTAGAGATGGCAGCTTGTTGGGCACACGGATTTTCTTCAGATTTGCACTTACTGCTAGCTCTGATTTTTATGCAGGAGAAAAATCCAGAGTTCACTCTGTAGCAGAACAACTTTGTAACACACGTTTATTAATCCAACCTCTGCCTTTCATTAAGTGTCACCTTTTGCCTTTGAAATTAACTCCATGATGGGCTGTCTGAGGTATTAACACCTGTGAGGTCCTATGAGGTGCTATAATTATACCATGCCTATGAGGTGTGGTACTGGTGATTAAACGGGCAAACAGCCTGGTAGAACAGAATGTAAAGTTAGAATTAGACCCAAATACATATGGAAACTTAGGATATGACAAAGGCGGCATCTCAGATCACAAGGATAAAGATAAAATTTTTTTTTGAGACAGAGTCTCTCTTTGTCGGCCGGGCTGGAGTGCAGTGACACGGTCTTGGCTCACTGCAGCCTCCTGCCTCAGCCTCCTGAGTAGCTGGGACTACAGGTGGGTGCCACCATGCACGGCTAATTTTTTGTATTTTTAGTAGAGATGGGGTTTCACTGTGTTAGCCAGGATGGTCTCGATCTCCTGACCTCATGATCCACCCGCCTCCATCTCCCAAAGTGCTGGGATTACAGGTGTGAGCCACTGCGCCTGGCCACAAAATAAATTTTTTTTTTTTTTTTTGAGACGGAGTTTCACTCATGCTACCCAGGCTGGAGTGCAATGGCGCGATCTCGGCTCACCGCAACCTCCACCTCCCGGGTT